GTCTTTATTTTACAGCTAAAATATATATTTATCAAATAAAGTCTAATTTTACAGCTAATCAGGAATCCCTTTAATAATCAGCTGTTTTCAACACTCCCACTTCAGCATGTATTCACAGTAATGCTTTGGGTGAGGGCTGTTTTCTGTGGTGGGAGTTGGGGACAGAGCTCCAGGGAGGAGCTATAGGTGCAGTAGGGGGTCCTTTGTACCCACAAGCATTTAGGCAGCTCCAAATGGCTASCACAGAAGATTCAAGAATTTCTCAACCCAGCCTAAGTTTTACCTGGTGTCAGACTTAGAATCCAAAATGAAATTGGTGGTATACGTAGAGCATCACTAATCAAAAGATTTGAAGAGGGAGACAAGACGTGTCATCTTTATTGACTATCATTATTAACTGAGGATAGGTACTCTTGTTTTACTGTTTTTTTAATCCACATTTAAACTTCAGTGACAGTGATAACATAAGACAAAAYAAGTAAATTAAAATTCAATACCAGCAGAATTTTTCCAAGCCTTTTCATCAAAATGCCAGGACAAAGATTTAGAACCACCCTCTTTACTGGATTCCCTGCAAAGTGTTCCTTTTTAGTATTTATTCCCAATAAATATATAGAGAAACTCCTGCTAAGTGATTRTTTGGCTGTTTTATCCACTCTTCTRCCTCCTTGTCATCATCCTCATCATCGTCATAATCCTCATCAGACATCCAAAGACCACAAGCTGACAAACTGATCAGGTTTGTAACCATTCAGAAAAGAGACAGGCAAGCATTTGCATTATCATTTCCATTACCCCTTTGTGTAGCCTTGGAGACTATCACCAGTGCCTCTTTATCTCAATTAAACACAGCTTTATTATTCCAAACTAAATTAATACTAACTAAGGCAATTCCTAAACTAACTCGGTCAAGCACCACAAATTCTAAAAGTTGAATATTTATGAGYATTTAAGTCAGAAAGTACATATTTTGGTTGAGAAATCCATTGTGCACATTCTTTCATAGCCACATTTTGGTCCTGCTTTATTTAGCATTTATTATTTGTGCCTCATAAAAGACATAAAAACATCTTTCCCAAAATCTGTTCCTTTTTTTAAGTTCTATCATTGCCTAGTTGTGGATATTGAAATGCTGCCAATCTCTCATCCCTTGTTCTGCTTTCTATTCCTTTTTTACCGCAGGAAGCTACCGTTGAAGGAAGAAAATGGCAAAGAGTCTCTCAAGCCGGATACGATTGAAATCAAAGTGCACAGTGACAACAGCCTCCACATAAAGCCAGACGACAGCAAAGCATAAAAAAGATAAAAAAAAAACAAAGGAAATGAAAAAATAAATAAATAAAAGGGTCTGTTCCCCTCCCTCGCCACCAAAAGAACATTCGGATCACGAGACCAAACCCCGGAGAAGCGACAACACTGGAAAATAGTGGAAGTAAAATACTATATCTGTTTATAACAAGCCCGAATGGGAGACATGTGTAAATAAAAATAATAGAGATGACGGAGAACGAGTCAAACTTTTAGAMACATTACGGATTCAGTGGAAGGCTCTTGATTGTATTTTTCTTTTTTTTTTTTTCTGTCTCATGTTTCTCTTTTAAGGCTCAATTTTACTGATATTGCCTTTTTTTTTACTATTATTTTGTTAAAACCTTCATGAGATTCCCATGCAGTTAAAACACATCTGTACCCCCTTGAATCGTTTTTGGACGTCTTCTGAAGAACAAGACTTAATCAGTGGTAGAGAGAAATGTCCATAATCATCTCTGTCAAATTAAATGTAAGGGCACGGTGTTTCCATGCTTGAGTGTTACACTAAAACAACCGTTCTATGCCTTCATTAGCCAAGCTCAATTTTCGAGCTAATCAGATGCAAATGTAGCAGCATTTTGTTTCAACACGGCAGGGTGTGAGGATTAATGAATCAGGAAAATCATGATTGGTCATATTTCTGAAGTGAAACAATGCATAGTGAATGAATTGTATGGATAATTGAAAGTTTCAGATAAACTTGGAATAAAACCATAATTAATATAAGTAAAAAAAACTATYAGAAAACTGAACACAAACATAAATCTTATTTGTTCCCAGTCTCTTAACGATGTCCGTATACATATATGCATGATTTATTCACCGCAATTAACACTTGCCAGACGGAAAACTGACAAAAAACGCCGTTCCCCCCAAAAAGATTAGAATAAAAATATTTTGTATCTGTGAAAGCAAAAAAATTTTAATTAAAAATAAAAAACAACAACAGAAGCAGTGAATGTAATCACTCAAAGCATGGGAACACTTGAGAGAATTAAATTGTTGTCATATGGTTTTTCTAGTGAATATGTTTGTGTGTTCACACTTGTACCAGAACTGCCTCACTTTTCTTTCTTTGTTTTTCTTTCATTTCAATCTTTTTTTTTACTGCTCGGTCTGATTCTCTCTGATGTTGTCATGTGCTGTACATAGGTGAAAAAAAATATTTTACAGAGCTTTTATGTAAATATACTCTAAAGGATGTGTTTTTTTCCTCTCCAAAAAGCTTAGCTTTTATTGTGAACATTCCTCAGATGAAAAGCTGTATTTTTCTTTCTCCTTCTTTCTTTTTTTTCCTCCTCCTTCTGTTGTGTTCTAGTCCAAAGTTCAGTGATGGTATAATATTGCTTTTACTAGTCATTTGCTTTTCCTTAAGAAAACCCATAACCTAAGGCCATTTTACGGCATTTCAACGGAGGCAGTAATTACGGCATTGATGTGCCTTTTCCTTTTTTCTTTCTTTTACTTCTCTCTCTGCACGGTGACCCGACGCTGCTGCAGAAGTGCTCTCATTGAATGGTTAATTTTTATTTATTTATAAAAAATTTTGGTCACTGCTTTTTGCCAGAGAATGTGTCTGAGGATCGACTTGTATTGTTGTGATGCTGTGAATTTGGGGAAAGTGTACCGTAGACTTAGGATTGTGGGTTGTAGTCGACAACACTGGACGGACACAGATGTACATCTAGATGTCAGGTTAATGGCGTTTACTTGAGTACTAAGCAAAGCTGTGGGCTGCTGAAAACCTGGTTTTATTGGCGTGTTATGCATCACTGTTTTTTTGTTTTGAGTACATACATGCATGGGAGTGAGAGTATGTATGTGCGTTGAATGTATTTGCACGTACAGTACTAGAAGTCATCTTTATGTGCGTGCGAGAATGACCATACAAGGTTTTCGATGTCTCCAATCAAGAGCTTCAACTCATTTTTTTTTTTTTGTGATTTAATTTATTTGTTGATTTTTGCAAATTAGATCCAGTGTGTACTTYTGCAGACTCTTTATGCACCGTGAAGCTCTGCAAGTCATATAGGCAAAGGCCACATCAAGGCCTGAACGCTGCAAAGGTTTGAGCAAGGCATTGGCCGAGATTCGGGATGACGAGTAAWTCCTGAATATGTACTTCTCAACAGTGATTAATTTCCCTGGCTGCAGCACTCAGTGCATGTGTCTGCGAGCCCCCCACCCCCACCCACCCCCCCTTTTTCACCATCGCCACTGTCTCCTTGCCTCTCAGACTCTGCTGGTTTTTATCTTGAACCTCACAGCGCTGGCTTTGTTTCCTCACGGCGAGTCCTCGTACCTGCACATCTCAAGCGGACGGTCCTGCCATGGCGTGGTGTCGCTGCCTGTTTCGATCACTGTAAATACTGGAGCACAGTGCCTGGAGGCTATACAATTTGTACATGTTCTTTTTTGTATTTGAATATGAGTCTAAAACCCTTTCCCTCCCTTTTCTCCACCTCTTTCCTCTCCTCCTTGTCTCCTCCACCTCAACTCACTCCTTTTCTCTTCTGTCGGGGGTTAAAACAGGTGTGTTTGAGCTCAGTGTACATTACGTGTCCCCTCTGTCCCCTCCCCCCCATGTCCCTCTGGACTGTCCCTGCTGAGTGTCAATTGTGCAGGAGGTGGGAACTATTGGTGTTTCTCTGTACGTACCTGTGGAACACTTGTGACTCGTATCATTTGCCGCTGTAAATAAACATGTCCTGGTAGAAGAGAGTGACAAGTTGTTATTTATTACTATAACATTGTGCCTTTTACTTTTATGATTGGCTTGGTTTGTTAGAACCCCAGAATGCAGGACTGAGTGAGTTTAGCAAAAAAAATATTAAAGGAATCAAATAGTTGTCACGGCAGCAAACTAAATACAAAGACTTGACAATGACATGAACCACAAACAGAAAACAAGGATCTGACAAAGACTGRGGACGAAGGACAGAATATAAAGGGAGAACTAATGAGCTAAAACAAGAAACACCTGGGGAAGAAACATGAGGACCAGGTGTGAGTGGGCGGGGCCGAGCAAAGGCAGACAGGAGGGAGAGGGACATGTCAGAAAATCATAACAAAGTCCAAATAAAACATGAAACCAGACAGAACAGAACATCTACATGTTTTTGTCTGTGTATTTGTGCTTTGTATTTGTTACAAGWAAATGCACAATTTACAGTTTCAATAGAAGGACCTCCAGTTGTCTAGAGTTGATTATTGGCTGCACCTGGCTTTCTTGTTGCCCAGAAAGACTGTCAAAGGAAGAGCATGCTCTAAGATTATTAGTCTAAACTACTGTATTAAGGTCCAATAAATGGAATTTCATCATAAAACCTTGAAAGAAAATGTCCGTTGCTGTWGGAAGTTCATTAGTTTGGTGCCAAAAACCCAGCAGGAATATGATCATGAAGCAAAAGTCTGGAGGCTACCATCAAAAAACCTGAGTGATGTCGTGGAGCACGTTTTTTTTTCTAATGCTCATGATGCTGACAAAGACAAAGGTCTGCTGATAGCTGTCAGACAGTTTAACTTTATGGCCCTCTGTCACATGATGGACGAAATGATGCATGTGGTTTATCTGTCAAAACATTTTCAAAGAGAAGATCTGGATTTCTCCACAGTCCAGCCAATGGTTGAAAGTACCAAAGAGGCCCTGAAGAAGAGGAATTCTTCAGCTCTCTTGACTGAAACAAATTTAAAGGAGATAAGGTTTTTGACTGTCACACTCAAAAAAACAGCCTTGAAGAGCAGGTATGTTGGATCCTTAAATAAAATAAATTGACAGAAGATTCCCATCTGAGACACTGGATGTTTTGCCATGGTTTACAGTTTTGGAGTCAAAAAGAGTCATTGTGGCAAAATAGTCAGAGAATTTTTCTCACTATGGTGTTGATTCCACAACCACACACTTCTCAAGCTATGAGCACGGAGGATGCACGCTCAGAGTTTGCATCGCTGAAGCAAACTGTGGTTTCCAGTGATTTGTCTGCTTCATTTTCCTAACAACAGTTTGCGGATTTGAGTAATTATACTGGTGTGTTCACCGAAACGGAGAAGCTCATTAATATTGCTTTGGTCAGACCAACTGCCAGTGGTGAATGTGGATTCAGCACCCAAAACAGGATGAAAAAAGATTCAGAAATTCATTGAATAACTCAAAAAACCTCCCTAATCTGGTGCTGATTTCAGAGCTTGGCTCTCCAAAAGAGCAGTTTGATTTTAACAGAGCTCTTTCAAATGGAAAGAGATGAAGCAGAGGAGAGTGAGGACTGAACAGAGTGTGGAAGAATTGCGTTTCTAGAGAACCAGCCACCACTCGCCGACAAGCCCCTTCTCCATGGCTCCAGGGTGGGGGCCAGTAACCCATATCCAGGCAAGGGACACAGTTCCTGGTTTTTGTTTGTCCGTACAAGTGTTTCAAATCATTCATTGTTTGGCTTGTTGCCTAAATTTTAATACTGCAGGATTTAGGACTCTTTAAATGAGTGGTTTAAATGTAGTAAATAATAGATTTACATTAGAGGTATAATTTAACACTGACATTTAAGAAGGAAAGAAAAAGGGTTATCAATAGTGGGGTCATTTTATAATACTCTACCTTGTGATGCATTTTGCTTTAGACCAGATGACTCTGCATCTAGAATCTTTCTTTTCTTCTTTTTTTTTCTTTTTTCTTGTCATTTAAGTGAAAGCTCATTATTAGGACTGACATTTTTTATATCAAGGTCATTCCTTCACGACTCCTACTTTAAACAGTAACTCTAGCATCTAAATGGCCTCTTCCTTGAAGCACTACTTTAATGATTTAAAAAGTGGCTCAGAAGCTTTCCTCAAAGAGGGAATTAAAACAATTGTGAATAGCACGGAGGAGGCACAGTGTTCCCTAACAAAGCTGCCCCCTCTTCAGTGCTCATTTGAAGTCAGCAGATAGTGTTCCTCAAACGTCTTCCTCCTCCATCAGGAGGGGGATGAGCTGTGTACTGCCTGTTGGCTCCTGGCTGCAGTTGCCTTTATTTAACAAGAGGAATGAACTCCAACTTCATTTCCCGCAAGTACTCAAAGGAAGTCTGCACATCAAACACTGAGTCCCATTTGGATGAGTGGGAGGAAATAAGTTGAGTGGTTTCTGATTTTTTTTTCTCCTTTTCTGTGACAAACAAAACCAAATGATGGACCACACAAACACAATGTCTATTTAACACAACGTGGAAGCCTCACACGGTAAGCCTTCAGGTGGTCTCTCTAATCTTTCCTTTTGCAGAGACTCCCATGATGCCGAGTGCTGACAGCAACCTTAATCCCAACTGTGAGAGAAGTTCAGGAAGTCTGGGACTAAACCTCCCCCAGTTTCCAAAACCCTGACGAGATTTGAAAGGACTTCTGTTGCGGAGTGCTCCGTGGTGGCCAGCCGGTTAATTTTTGAAACTTTGCCCACACGAGTGGAGCTTCTCCAAAATCTTGGCCACACACGTGAATCCCTCAGAGAGAGATGCGTTTATATATCGACATACAAGCTGCCATTTTCTTAATCAGCTTTATTTCCCAGCACGCCTTCCGTGTTTGGTGATTTCAGAGGACAGAGGGTTGAGAACAATTTTGCTCCTGAATCATGGCAGCAAATATTGATGCATGTCTTGAATATATAATAAAGTTTTACATTATTAATTTTTTCTCCTATTTTTGAAGATGAGGGAGTAAAAAATATTTTTCCAGAACTGACTTTTTTCTCATGAGTCAGAACTCAGAAAAAAAATCCTTTTTTTTTTTTTTTTTGCTTTGTGGGCCTAACCCTCTTCTGAATATTTGTATTAAAAAATAAATAATTTGTGCATGCATCTATGTTTGCCTATGTCTCTTTTGGTATACAAAACAGTTCATTAAAATATTTTAAAGTGGGATTTTGTGATAAACAATGTTAATAAGAATAGTAGTATCAATGAAATCTTAAAGGGGCAATATTGTGTTTCTCAGGCATATATTTAAATACTATACCATAATAAAGTATCTATGTCATCTTTAGTTGTTATTAAAAGGCTGTTTTTATGTTTAAATAGAAAATAAACTTATCTTCTCATCACTTCCTCTTCTAAACGCCTTGAAATTGGCCTCTGTCTCTTTAAGAACCACTTTCTGCTTCTGTCCTGTCCCTTTCAGTGCGGGGGTGGGGGAGTGGGTTGCACATGCACTATGACAGTGGTTCACAAAACTTTTTATCTTCTGACCCACAAAATATCCATGGCAAAAACTTGTGACCCCAAATATTACTGGTCTGAGTACACCAACTTCGTTAATAACCCTAAAAACACAGGCTATTTGACAATCTAAACAGCTTGTACACAAATAAAAATACTTATTTATACTTATTTTGTGTTTTTGTAACAATTATAGGGAAAATATTACATCAGCAATTATTTTATTACCCTTAAAATTGATTTCTGGAGATGATCCAAGGTGCTTCATGACCCATAATTGGGTCCCAAGCCCAACTTTGGGAACCAAAGTGCAGTGGTTCCCAAACTTTTCAGCTTTTGACCCACAAAATAACAGCAGCAGAGACCTGAGCCCCCAGCTATTTTTGGATGATAAACATTTGTATCAGGTCAATAAAACATGGGCATAGTAACAATATTTTTATACTACATTTATCCATTTTAAATACACTAACCTCACTCCTTTGTACCAACTAAGGCAAAAACGTATATAATTCTGAAAATCTTTTCAGGACCCCACTTTGATCTTTCAGGACCCCACTTTGGGTCCTGACCCCAACTTTGGGAAACGCTGCACTATGATGCAGTTTACTTGTCATCTGAAAATACATTTCCTCAAAGGTATTTTGAATCTGAAAAGAGCTTCATTGAGTAAGTAGTGTTGAGAGCAGCAGACAGTTTAAGTTTCACTTTCACTTTGCTCTGTTACTGAGAGCCTGCAGGAGTCATGGGCGGGGTGTGGGGGGTGGGGAGGGGTGCTCTGCCATGAGGAAGTTCAGCTTAAAGACACGTCCCAGGGGCGTTTCTGGTCCCCACCTGTCGTTTTGCTCCTCAGCATGGCTTCCTAAAAACACTGCAGGATTTCTCAAACATGCATGAATGAGTCAAAGCAAGGCGTTGGGCATGTTTTTATGAGAGTATAACATTATAACATGATATAAAACTCAAAAAAATTGATTTTACATGACATTGCCCCTTTAGCAATACCCATCCCAGATACAGAGCTAAGGTGGAAGTAGCTGAGAGTCATTCACAACACATTCTCTGAATGTGACATCTTGTAATAATATTGAAGGTTTATCAAAATGGTCTGTCATTTTCAGTGGTGGGCACAGTTAGTGATTATCAGTTAATGTCAGCTCCTGCTCATTTTCTTACCTGTTTCGCGGTTTAACTTTAGAAAAGCTAATGTTTTAGTTAACAGCTTAGTTTGGCAAGTGGATGATATACTTCAAGGAAACTAGGCCTTCAGTTTAAGTTAAATAAAAATACAATTTTAAAACACACTTTTAGGACATTGTTTGCTCCTCAAAAGGACTATCTTGTCAGTCTAGTTAGAATTAATGAGGTAATGAGCAACAGGTAAGCTATTATTTGTTCATTACCTTCCTACAGAATCCCACTTCAAAGGCTCTCTTTGTTATACTGTAGATGCCAGAAGCAGAAGAAGTGCCCTGAGATTTGCAGGAAGAGTTGAAAATTTGAAGAGGCTTGGAAGTGTGCAGAGCAGATGTGCCT